TTTTTTTGTTCTTTTGTGTGTGTGTGTGTGTTTTGTTGTTTTTTTTTGTAGCAATGCATATTTTTCATGCCCTTGGTCAAAAACTATGCTAAACACTGTCTTACTCACAGAGTTTCCCTCTATCATGTTTGTTTGGTATATACATGTAATTGATACATTCATGAATCACCCACTTATCTCGGTTTTTTTTTAGAAAACAAAAAGAAGTATACAAAATACATGTTTGCAAAATACAGTTCCTTTATAAACATGAAGTGATTTTATTTTATTTTATTTTCCAACAATATGTTGTTTAAATTTAATTACAATCAATTTTGCTTTTGTTCTTTCCAAAAAGCTCCTAGTCCCATGAATATCACTTACCAGTAATACGCAGGTTTCCATAGCGAGTTCTCACTGTAAATCGCTTATTGGGCGCTGAAACAACAAACACGGAATTTCAATCGTAAGAAATCTTAATCACATCACTGCCCAGGAAAAGGAACTAGTCTTGATCAGAGAAAAATGACCAGACTGCTGTGTGGTGACCAGACCAACCAAAACAGGCTCAGCGTTTTTGTTTGCTTGTTTGTTTTTGTTTTTTGTCTTGTTTTGTTTTGTATTGTTTCTTTGCTCTCATGTTATTTTCTATTGCAATACAGTGCAGGGCCGCCAAGGCAGCAGTACGGCACTCTCCTACATCCTGTTTTACATGGTTTTACTTTAAAATAAAATGGTTGTAACTTTTTTTTCGACGATACTACCAGGAAAAGATAGATTCCGTTATATCGCATACCCGTGGTATGTGTTTCAATATATCTCATTCAGCTCTCAATTAAAACAGTTTTGTATAATTGCAGAAGGGGTTTGTTTCGTGTTGTTTCCGCTTCTGTACTCGTGTGATGGAGTTTGGTTTTCATTGCAAGGAGGGAGGTGAATATGATGCAAGTAAAATATCGTAAAACCAAAATAGTTCACCCCAATTTTCAACTGAATGCTCAGAAAATTTTATAAGTTATTGCCACCTGATGACACGTTACCAAGACTTCTCTGAAGGATTTCCTTACAAAGAGAGCAATTGACACCACAGACCGGTTGTGATATGATTATTATTAACCTGCACTGACACGGAAACTAAAGTCATGTGGAACAATATCTCATGACTGTTTTGAGAGGGATCCAAATATAATGGGAACATTGTACAACAACATACCTGCGTCTGCGCTGGTAGCATTCGTCACTCCGTGAAAGCTGCGCTCCACTGGATCTAAGAATAACAATTTTTAGTCGAGAGTTAACTATTTCGAGGGTACCTTTCTAAATGTGGGTTAAGGTGTCGCCTGCTTCACAAAGCCTTTTCCTCATTTCCGACCTAAATATACTATTTTCTACACTTTTATTCAGGCCTGAACGTTTCTTAAACACTGTATTTCAAACCAAAGGCGGTATGGGCTCGTGCTTAATCAAATATCAGTGACCTCTTTGCATGTTTTCATTTGCCCAATAACTTATTTGCACGTTTTCATTTGTCCAATAAAATCAAGAGTGGTCAATGCAGATTACGGGACAATATAAATAAACTATGCCACTAAATTCATTCTTATTGGCAAAATTTTACCCTATTTCAATCAGAAAACGTAAATGTTATAAATCGATTTCCCACTGAAGCGACTCGCTCAACTTACTTTTACTTTCTTTTGGTAAGTGTTCTTGCTTTGTCCCATGTTGTTTGATGATCTCCTTTAGTAATGTCCTTTTAACACGAACCGATTGTTGACTTTTAAAGTCGGAATCTTCCTCATCGGAAGAATGTGATGAGCGAATATCGCTCGTAACAATGGCCACTCCATACCTGAAACAATCAAATTGATCTTAGGAGCTAGTACAATATGTTAACATTTTAAGGGAAAAAATCATTAACAAATACAGCTGAGGAAATTGCTGCATTGGACTGAGAATAAAAATCTCAATTTTGTGCAAATTTTCCCTGGCTCGCACTTGGCGAGCAGAATTTAGTCATTCCATATCGTTGCTTTACAGCGCTGGGTTAAGAACTAATGTAAGGTAAATTAAAGTCCTCGTTAGGCCAGTGGCCTATGTAGCCGGAGTGTATCCAAGGTTCTGTATTCTGAGTATTTTTCCTTCCCCTGGATGCTAGTCCATCGCAGGGTTACCACCAGCATTAAATTCGCCGGTTTCCATTTGAAGACCGTACCTGGGTGGAGAGAGGCACCGTGAGAATTAAGTGTCTTGTCTAAGAACACAACACACTGACCCCGGCCAGCGCTCGAACCCGGACTACTCGATCCGGAGACGAGCGCGCTAACCATGAGGTTACCGTGTCTCGACTATGAACTAATGTACCATAATGTATAACAAAGGAGTGGCGTATGGTCGCCAAGATCGCTGACAAAAAGAGTTCAGCGACCGTTGTAATGGCATGGAAACGACTGCTCGCCGAATGCAGCGATTGCTGTCGAGATTGACTTCAGTTCTATCGGACTGTAACGATCATATGGAAACCACTTTCCGGAGATTGTGGTGATCGTTACGAAGATAAATGTATACCAGACTGTTTGATCCAGGTCCCCTCGGTAATGTTTTATTTTGTAGCGATCATTTGGAAACTGGTAGGCGTAAGGATCGCCCAACTTTTTCTGAAGATCGTAACGATTCGTGGGAGGGGGTACATCATGGACACCAGCCTTTGATAACCTTTTGTGTGATTTATAGAACAAGTCAGCTTCATTTCAACACAATGACTTTGACGGAGATTTTCAACAAAATCGTTGCGTGATAAAATGGTAAATGAATTTCAATCCTCAGTCAAGTGGATAATTTACGGATTGTCCGGCCAAGGTTATATAAAATCTTAACACCAGTTTACTTGTTTATTTTTTTAATATGCTACCTGCCAGTAGCTTTAGGACCCTTTAGTGATAACAGCCATCAATTGTTCCTTAGTTTTCTTTCAGAAATCGGCGCACGGTATTTTTTTCCACCCTTGAGATTGTTGATTCTGGTAATTTACCGGACCAAATGTGATAAGGCTCTTTATTCTCAATTCCTGCATTATTGCATTTGTATTGATATTTTGAAGGGAAAATAACTTTTGATCACGCTAAGATGACTTTGGTTCTGTGTTGAAGTTTTTGTTTCTATAGCTGGTACGTAGAAATAACCTGCAGACCACGAAAATAAATCCACTGGACGTGTATCAACTGCATATCACGCTAACACGCCGTCCAATAGAATCATAGCATGTGTCTAAAAACATCTTACCCGAACTTAAAACAACTGGAATCGATGCAGTAATATTACTCTCGCCACTTGTTAGGGTTTGATATCGGGTTTCCAGCATTACTCGTTGAGCAAAAATACGTAATCGATATCTTGCAGATAATATCATGTACATGAGCTGACCGTTATGTTCTCATTAATAAAGCAACTGCACGTCATTGAACACGAATGGTAAAGCAAACTTGTACTACATTTCAGTAACTATAAACTCTGTGGAGTACTTCTGATTCTCGTTGAATATTTACTTAAATCACCCTCCTTTAGATAACTAATAACTATCTGCTTTTAAACACAAGTGAAAAACTTCTGATGGTTTTTGTGCGTTTTATCTACTGTGAACTCCAGACATTATGCGATACCTACCATGTCTTCGAGGAAACCTTGCGAAAAAAAACCGTTTGAATTAACAACAATTTCAGATGCATATAATGCATTCACAGAATGTATTCTTTGGTGTGAATATCTAACACAAAGGCCTCTATACGAGTCGGCAAGAATTTCATTAACAAAAACTGAAGAATACTATCATATTTTCAAATATCGTTTTGGTCAGAAATAGGCTACGCTATCGTCTGAATTGCCTTCGAGATATAATCCGTGGTATCAGGACATGCTTTCCTTCTAGTTTTAGCAAAAGCAGTCCCGGTTTTTTTATATACCTTTCAGCATTTTGTGTTCGATGCAGGGATAACTACATAAGGAAGGCAATTGACTTTAAGTGCCTCGAGATATCTCAGTGCAAGAACGAAAAATTTAATTTTCGTCATAAATGATTAAAATTTGGCTTTAACCCTAGAGATGAAAATCAATTTGTTTCATACCTGAATTACAAAGCTTTAAGGCCACAAGTAACTGGAAACCATAACCTTCGATTCTGCTTAGTATATATCAAATATTTGTATATCGTTGGATTTTTTTGTTAGCTTTTCTTATCTGATAATAAAGAATACTACTTTAACTAAACACAGAAAGGTTGTTTTCGAGATGAAGTTAGAACGCAGTTAATAAAACTCGAACTTACAAGACTTGCATCGCACAGTGTAGTGACTAAACGTAATACTATGGAAGAGCTTCGAAAAGATCACAAGCAAATAAAGCTGTTAAGATAAATGATAGCAAAATACTAAGAATTATCAAATCATTTGTACTTACAGGAGTAGAAAGAAGACCCTCATGCCGGGGTCGCCCGAATTAAGGACGATCCTTACCCATAAGGGAATTCCAGACAAAAGACCAAGATTCTTGTCTCGCGAGATTAATACGTTCAGACATTCCTATGCATTTATTCATCACTTGATTTTGCTCTTTGTTTATGATATTAAATCCAAACTTGGGCAGGTACAAGGCAAACTTCTTGTCTAAAACCCGTTAAATTTACCAAACTCGATCCTAAACATACGAGTCATAAGACTAGAAACCTTTGATGTGTTGTGTTTTTGTCAACGCACGTCGCTTCAGTTTTGTCAGCAATTCCATCATTACAGTTGAGATTTAGTAAGTACGGTAAGTTAAAATAGCTCTCACGGTTTTTAGTGGAGTATAATAAAATGATATAATACCTGCTTCACATTGACAGTAACCTTATTAATTGATGGAACAATGGTAAATTCATGGCAAAACGTCAAATAATATCTTTAACACGAACAGAGCGTAAACGTCATTTTAAACTTTGTTCACAGGAATTACTTACTTGTTACGAAAAGCAAGCCGTTAGTTGCAGAGGAAAAGCCATCTTTTATAGTAAAATATAAAATAAGATGTTTGTTTTATTTCCTATGGAGCATATAGAAAAGGCAATTTCTTTTTAATTTAGTTTAAAGAAAAATATTTGTATATATACTTGGCAAACTTGATACCTGTCAAGACAACATTTGAGACAAAGGCGATGATTTTAACGAAACAAAATCTCAGAGAGGAGAGGTTACCAAACTGATATGAATTTCTCATCTCTTTCTAAGTTCTACTTAGAAAATACTGGAAGACGGCCAGAACTCCAAAAAATTTTTTAAAAAATCTACAGCCACTTGCTGTGCGAGAACAAAACGGTTACACTAACAACATGTGTCCCTTCAATGCCACTTTTTTTCCCTTTTTTTTTCTATCGCCAACAACAAAGTTACGCCACAACGCAGTAAACCACTTGGAACTGTAAAGGAACAATTGCTGAGCTAGTAAATTTTAATTGCCATTTTTGTCAGCCGGGTTGGAGCTTAATTACAAAACGTGTATCAGTTGTTTCGTCTTTAAAACACGAAAAACAAAACGAACTTTTCACACACTAGGACACTGGGATATTGATTTTTGAATCGTCGAAAGCCAACAGCCCCGAGTCCCTTCAAGATAATCTCTAACCATCTGATCCTGTTTTAAAGTGGCAACTTGTTTCCAATTTTAGAGCTTTCCTGAAACTTCTTTGGTTTGAGTTATCAGTTAAAAACATATTATTAACTAACATAACACATCATCTTTATACTCAGCTTTTTCAATATATCAAATATCAGCTATTAGTTAACTTTCAAAGAATTTTACAACTCCGAAGGATTTTGTAAAAGTTCTATCATTCTAACGCAGTTGTTCTTGATGTCCTTTGCGTTGTAATGGTGACCTTTATTTCACCCATACCCTTCAACGGGGAGCTTGCAAATTTACTTATCACGGCCATTCTAGTTATAAAAGATATAGAATAGATTATTCGCCAGGTTTTCACGTATGGCGATAGCCACTAAAGCCCACATTTTGTACTATACACAGGGAATAATATTGTTCCTTTCGAAAACGACTTCTTATTTCACTCAGTAGTAGATTATACCACTGATTACTAGATTGTA